TAGGGTATAACGACTTACTATTCTGGTAGCTATTCTGGTACACAGTATTTATTAGTAAGGCTTGTCATGTGTTTGCAACGTAGTCAGAAATTTTTGGGTTTCTATTTTCTAATGCTTCTTTAGATCATAATCATATTGTTATGATTGTTCAAGAATGAAGATGGGACCTATGAATTAAGAATAGCATCATCTCTTACTAATGGTTAGTGTATCAATAGAAGCCCATGCACCCATCTCTCACCTCATTTCTGTCTCTCATTATTACACACTAGAATATTGTAAAACATTAAAAGCACAAGCCTAAGCAAGCTATAGATTATGTGTTGTATGATTAAAGTAATTACACATGTCTAAATACAGTAGATATTGATGCAGCCATCTTGCTTAAATTTCTCTATCACTGACTTCATCATAGCTAGCACTTAAGCCTGCAGCAATTGCTTATAGCACACAAGTCTAAGATAAGTCAGAAGCAGTCACTGAGCAAAGAAGATTGTAGATCTGCTTTGTTAACCTAGGCTTGCTGCTAGAGAAGAAACATCACCTAGAATAGATCTCATGAGTCATGCAGCTTTCTCACCTTATCAGACTCCTGTATATGAAGAAAAGAAGAATCTATAACTGCTTTTCCTACCTTTCTTCTTGCTAGAGAAGTCTTTGGACAACAGTTCAGTCTTATCTTGCTGACCGTTTGCTGCAAATAAGCTCAGACTTGCTGATAGCCGCCATTTTATTCATTGTGACCACACCCGTTTTCAATGAAGATTAGGTTATTTAACTTTAATAATAGTTAGACGACAGACAAACAGACTTGTTATGTCTTAGTGGGGCTCGCTCAGGCTCACCCCAATATTTATTTTACATTATTTTACATACAATGGGTTCAAGTGCATTCTCTAATTTTGTCTGCACACAGCATAGCTTGATTGACTTCTCTTTAGCCATTGAGCATGTGCATAACTTGATTGGCTTCTCTTAGTTCCAAAGTCATTCCCTGGTTGTTGTGTGCGGGCATATAAAAGAAACTTTGTGGATATCACAAGTTCTGACGTCACTGACATACATAATATGTAATGGTAATGATGGTATTCATATTTCCAGTCACTCTAAAACTACTCATTGTGCGCGTGCATGTGTTAAGTAACCTCACTTATGTATCAGTAGGTGTCCATTGTGGGGATAGCTTGAGTAGTCTTCCACTTATGAATCCAGTCATAAGTGGATTCATTTGAAGGAAACTGTAGATATACAGTACATGTACATGTGTACATTCAATTCTCAGCCTCGTCTAAAAAGAAATCAGGCATTAGCTCACTACCTATGAATCAGGGAAGCAGGAAGAGAGAGAAAGAGAGGAGGAGGAAAAACTTTAAAAGTAAATAATGATTCAGTCCAATGCACTAGAATGCAGTGAGCATTCCACAATGCATTGCCATCCTTCACTGCCCACAGCAATACAGGATGGCAATGTAGGATGCCATAGTTAGGGAAATTATTGTGCTCTGTAATAAACTAGTAAATGTGTAGCTGTGAAAGCTGTGCTGTCATTATGTCTTTAAAGGCTTGTCATGTGTTTGGAACTTACATAGTTTGGATTATTTTCTACACAAATCGCTTCATTTATTGATGTATGTATATGTACAGATGCTATCATTGTTATGATTATTAATAGGATTTGAACCCATACAATACAAGATTGTTCAAGAATGAAGATGGGACCTATGAATTAAGATTAGCATCATCTCTTACTAATGGTTAGTATATCAATATCATGCTCATCCCTCACCTCATTTCCCATTTCT